GTCTCATTTGAAACTTTGTTCTCCTGCTTCTAAGACCTAATTCCAATTATATATATATCTTAGGTATTGCATATTATTCCCCAAGTCTTGAGGCTCCATTCATGTTTGAAAAATGTTTTTCCCTCATGTTCTTCAGATTGGATAATTTCTGTTGATCTATATTCCAATTCACTTTTCCTCTGTTACTTTCATTCAGTTATTGAACCCATCCAAAGAATTTTTCAGATATTATATTTTTCTGTTTTGAAGTTTCCATTTTATGGTTTTTATAGCTTCTATTTCTATTTTAGAGTTTTGTCTTATGGTTTCTATTTTCTTTATATAGAAAACAGTTTCTTTTTTTGGTTTCTCTGCTGAAGTGTCATATCTTTTTATTCATTTCAAGTGTGTTTTCTTTACCTCATAGAAAATATAATAGCTGCTTTAAAGTCTTTGATAATTTCTATACCTAGGTCATCTTGGGGTTTTCATCTATTGATTATGTTTTCCCTTTCCATCTATTCAGTAATTTTGAATTGTGTCCTGGACATTGTAGATGTTTTGTTGTATTCACTGAGTCCTGCAGAGAATGCTGATGTTTCTGTTCTAGTTAGGTTAACATCATAAGTTTTGTCTTGCCATCTTCGAGTACTGTTTCAAATCTTAGATCAGTTTTTAAAGCTTTTATGATGCTGGTTTTGGTCCGTCCCTCATATATGTGGATCAGAGTCTAGGTTGAGACTTGTATGGATATTTCAAATCTCAGTTCAGTTCTTAAAGCCTTTGCTAAGTTAATTTGAGTCTCCTTTGTGTGGGTTCACATACTCATAATCAGAGTATTCCTTTCTCTGACTCTCTCCTCTCCAGAACTTTCTCCACACACTTTGGCCACCTCAGTTTCCTTTCCCTGGTTCCTCTGACCAGGAAGATGGTGGCCTGACAGAATCTTAGCTGCTGGTGCTACTCTATGACTGGGGCTTGCCCTCAGGGTATGTGAGAAAAAAAGGGGGAAACTCACCCCTGGGGACATTGCTTCTCCAAGTTTTGACCGTCTTGCTGAGTTTACGTGCTTTTGCTTACTGTTAAGGGTCTTCCAGTATTTGTTTTTTATATTTTGTCCAAGTTTATAGTTGTTCTCAGTGGGAGGGATGCATTGTAGGGGCTTAAACCACTGTAGTGGAACTAGTGTGCTTCATAGTTTTGTACAGATTTGTGTAAGTCAGGATAGGAGTTTCTGTCTGATGAGGTAGTGGGCCAGGCATGGCGGCTCATGATTATAATCCTCACACTTTGGGAGGCCAAGGTGGGAGGATTGCTTGAGGCCAGGAGTGTGAGACCAGCCTGGGCAACATAGTGAGACTCCATCTCAAAAAAAAATGTTAATCAGTCATGGTGGTGCATACCTGTAGTCCCAGCTACTTGGGGGCTGAGGCAGGAGGATTGCTTAAGCCCAGGAGTTCCAAGGTTACAATAAGCTATGATCACACCACTGCACTCCAGCCTGGGTGATAGAGTGAGACCCGATCTCTAAAAAAAGAGTAGGATATAGTTTAATAAGTGATCATACAAACATGGTTTTGTTTAGCTGTCAAAGAGTTCTTATTATCTTATTAGCAGAAGCTAGAGAATACTGCTGAGAACTTCTAGGTATCATTCATGAGTGAGCCACGACCTCTCTAGATATGTTCTAGTTGGGTGGTATTTTGGTTAGATATGATGGGGGTATCTTGTAGATATGGGTCCAAGGATGTCTCCATAAGAATTACATGCTTTTAATTTTTAGTGATTTGTTAGATGAAGTCCATGTGTACTAATCTGCCAAGTTCTTCAAATGCCTCTAAATAAGTATGTTTGAGCATATTTTATTCCACTTTTCATTTTTGAACTTCCAATGATCTGCTTGGATCCATGTTTCTGTTTTCCAACTGACCATAGGGAAGGTATTAATCTTTCTCTTCTACCTCTAAATAAAGTTGCTTATTTGAAAATGTTTTTATTTGGCTGTCTAATCACCCTAACTTGAAGTGCTTTTCCTATAGATCTCAATATCCTAGACTGGAGCTTTCAGAATCTTGTTGCTATAGCCCTTGGATCTGCTGTATCCGTCTGGAATGGAGAGAACCACAAGAGGACTGAAATCATAGACCTAAGTCTTGCTTGTAATTATGTATCTTCTGTGTCCTGGATAAAAGAGGGAACTTGCCTGGCAGTTGGCACCAGCGAGGGAGAGGTGCAAGTATGGGACAATTTTCTTTCTCATGTTCTTCGTGCAATTATTAGATAAGCTAGAATCGATATTTAATAACAGGTTAATAAAAAAAGGAGAGAAACTCTTAATAGATTAGGTGTGGCACTTGAAGCTATGGGGAGCGAGAAGAGATACCATTCTTTTTCTGGATGGTGCTTAAGGAGGACTTAAGGATGCTCTTCTTAGTTTCCCCCACAATCTTTCCTTTATTTCTTTTTTTAAAAAATCTTTTCTCTCAAACTGAAGTTGGGCTTGTAGAATCCCCAATTTTGGGACTTTAAAGAGAGAAAGATACCTTTCCAGTTCTCCTTTCTCATCTGATGCGATGATTAGGAATAGAGTTATATAAAATGAGTGAGTTGTTTTTCTAAAAGGGTTTCTGAGATGGGGATTTATAAAGTTTCGATCAACCTATCTAATTTATCATATATTATAATTGTTATTGTTAGCAATAGTGTAAACAATATTGCCCATGAGCTAGATGTTATAGGAGGGACACAGAAGGCTCTCACTCCTCTCTCCTCTCTGCAATGCTATGGGATGCTGTAAGGTTATGTTATGATTTCTTCTTACACCAAAGTTGTCATTTTTTATATGGGTCAGAATATCATCTGTACCTGCAGGAAAGGAGTCTCTTAGCAGTAAGTGGAATTTCTTCAGGAAGTGTCCAGACACCCACATTTTATTAATATATTTATTGGTAACTATAGACTTCCAGGTTTGGAATGCCCACAATTTAGAAGGAGCTAGAAGTGTGGTAATGATTCTCAACTCTTGGCTGCACGTTGACTTCACCTGGGAAGCTTTAAAACAAATTCCGTATCCCCAGGCTCTACACCACCAAATACCTCATCAGTAGGCGGCTAGCTCCTGTGTTTTACAAACTCCCCAGGTGATCCTAATGCGCTGAGAACTGCTGGTTAAAGGTGCTGAGTTTTCACTTGCTGCAGAAACTGGCAGTATCAACAAGACTCGACTGTTAGGCCTTTGAGAAGATAGGGGGCTGTGACAACGCCAATGCTACATAACTCTGCTTGTTCGTTTTTCCAGTTATGGGATGTGGTAACGAAAAAGCGGCTGAGAAATATGCTTGGTCATTTGTCAGTAGTCGGGGCTCTGAGCTGGAATCACTGCATCCTCAGCAGGTAAGAAGCATCTTATTGGATACAATGATGTTTGCATCACCAATTGATTATGGGGCCCGAATGAATAGAACTATAATATTTAAAACCCAAACCAAACAAAATAAAACAAAACAGGACAGTAGACTTAGTATCAGTTATGATCCTGCCTGCTCAGTGCTCAGATCGTCTGGTGAGGTAAGTGTTCTGTTG